TCATAATTAGATCTCTCAGTGGCTGTATTTTATTTTAGAAGAGAGGAGTCTTATATTGAACATTATTTTATTGAACTCTGATATTTTCCATTCCGTCCTATTTTTTATAACATTAGTTACAACCCACTAAATTGATTTTACAACTCACTAATGGGGTGCATCTCCCAGCCTGAAAAACAGTGACTTAAAGGAACTGTAATCATGAACAAGCAAAATGCAGTGTCATCTTGAGCTAGGCGATGGTCAGTATCTCCCACACTGTAGAGATGAGAAGCATAGGGCCTGACCCTAAATGTTTTTTTTTTAAATACATAAAAATTTATATCATTGGACTCCAAGTTTTTAATACATAGAAATTTATATAATAGGATTCCAAGTGTAATTACGAGGCAAAAGAATACATACAGAGTTTAGTTACACAGAGGAAATATAAGTAAAAATGAGTTTGATAGACATCTAAATATTTTTTCTTAGATCACTAAACAGGCCAGGCATGGTGGCTCACACCTGTAATCCCAGCACTTTGGGCGGCCGAGGTGGGTGGATCACCTGAGGACAGGAGTTCAAGACCAGCCTGACCAACATGGCCTGTCTCTACCAAAAATACAAAAATTAGCCAGGCATGGTGGTAGGCACCTGTAATCCCAAGTACTCGGGAGGCTGAGGCCAGAGAATCACTTGAATCCAGGAGGCAGAGGTTGCAATGAGCTGAGATTGTGCCACTGCACTCCACCCTGGGCAACAAGAGCAAAACTCCATCTCAAAAAAAAAAAAAAAATCACTAAACAACAATAAAAGCCTCTTACTTAAATATTTCATTCAGTATGAAGACAAATAGCAAATGATAGCTCAAAAATTTGAACACGGTTATCTGAGCAGAAAGGATTTAGTCTAGAGGAGGGTGGGACATGGCACTGCTAGTTTTTTATTTATTATAAGCCTTAAGCATAAAAATACTATTTGATTTTCTAAATGGTATTTATGTTTTACTTTGCTAAAAAAAATTGATTTAATTTTTAAAAATCAATCCTAATTGCAATTCGGTATAGAAGAGTGGACACTCGATTGGGACCCTGAGACCTACCATCTACATTCTCAGCCTGGGAAAGCTACTTGAATTTTTGGGACTTCACTTTCTTCTTAGATAAAATGAAGGAATAGATTCTGAAGCTTTCTTTACATACCATATTTTAGGACCCTATGACCCTAAAATATCTGATCATTTACAGATCATTTTAATGAAAGGATACAGCATTCCAAGATCATCCAAATGGTGAAAACTCACAATTTACCACACAAAAAGTTAGACCAAAGCTAGTGGTCTCACCTTCACAATAACTTAAGTAATCCCAGTGTTATCGCTTTGGGGCAGCTACTTAATTGTGTTATTTCTTCTTCCTGTCAATATGGTCCCTATCATATTTCATGAATTATAATTTTATGTATCACATTATTTTTTTCCTGTTAACCATGTGCTTTTCTCAGAGTTTCTTTCTTGAGTGTTTTCAATGCAGAGGCAAAATTTATTTCAATAATACCATAATTAAATCTCTTAGCGGCTGTATTTTATTTTAGAAGATATGAATTATATTCAATTTTTTTTATTGAACTGTCATTTTTATCTTAACTGTGGCTTAACCTAGTAATCTAATTATTTTTTCTAAACTTACTTTACAGCTAATAAAAGAAAGATATGAAAAATTAAATTACATAATAAAGCATGAAGTAAGTATAGCTATCATGAGACTCTCAGACTGAAAAACTAACATGAACTAATTTATACTATTGAAAAGTTGGTTTTCCCCATATTAAAAAAAATCAATAAAAAAGAAACCTCTTTAAATGAAATAATAAATTAGGCTACTCTAATTCCCATAGATATCTTCAAATCATCATAACAGGATATCAACTTTTCAATCACAGTAGAAAGGAGTCAGAAAGGAATCAACCCTACAAAATATATCCCTAATATCTATGTTTAAGGCAATTTATAAAAGAAAAACTCCCTCTTCCTCCTCCTCTCACTTCTAAAGCATTTAGTTTTCAGCTCTAATATTCTAAAAATTCTTTTTTCTTCCCTCTTTTCCTTTAGGATGTGTTCTCATTGTTTCTGTCTTCCATAAGGGCCATGTCAAAATATCAGCTCCCCAAAAAGAATAGCACTCTCTATCCAGGCACTGTGAAACACCTGCACAGATAAGTATTTGAAAAATGATTTTTATGGTGATGAAATAAAATGTATTCACAGTGGTAATTCTTTGGACCGTTAGGAATTCATTAAACAATACCTCAGCTCTAGAAACATCAAACCCTCTGATAAATATTTGTTAAGAGTCTCTGCAAAAAGAGACACCTGTGATACAAGTTAGCAGAATCTACAAAAGTGTGTGTCTCTCTAATTCACACTCAGATTTTCCTGAGTCCTGAACTAGAAGTTCTGATCTTAGCAAAGACAGCAGATAATCCTTTCTTCATGGTAGTTTGAACTCAAACAATTTTAAGTAGTTTTATGATTTACCCCTGAAGTACAGTGAACCAAGACCACCAAACTAGTTGCAGGGAGAGTTCAGTGAGTTAGAATTTTATTGCTTCAGTCATTTAAACCAAACACCTCTGTCAGTCTGAAATTAAAGTATTTATGCAATAACCTCTTAACTAATGTTTGTGGAGCATTTACACTATATAAAATATGGCATCGCATTAGGTATGATGGGAGACGCAGAAAGTACTAAACCTTCTCCTGCTCCCAACAGAAGAAATGTTCATCTAGCTGGTGGTGAGATGCTAACAGGAAAAAAAGCTGAACACAGTAACTTTACAGTGCAGAAACCTCCCAAACAAATACCTTAACCAAGTAGCTGAGGTTAACATTTCTAGTGAGAAGCCACGCTAATATCATGTACCCCTTGAGATAATGTGATACCTATGCGGTACTTTTCCCAAAACCCATAACTCCAAACTAATCATGAGATAACACATCATAGGAACCCATGTTGAGGCACATTCTACAAAATACCTGGCCTGTATTTGGACTGCCAAGGTCATCATGAAAAACAAAGAAAAGCTGAATTGTCACAGACCAGTGGAAACTAACGAGACATGACAACTAAAGGCAGTGTGGTGTTCTGGCCCCTGGATTAGATGCTGGAACAGAAAAAGGACAGAAATGGAAAAACAGTGGAATCCAAATAAAGTCTGGTGTTTTAGTTAATAATATTGTTCTGATGTTTTTTTTAATTTGACAAATGGTGCCAGAGTGATAGGAAATGGTAACACTGGGAGAAACCGAAGTTAGGTTGGGGTCTTATAGGAATGCTCTGTACTACCTTTGCAACTTTTGTGTAAATCTAAAATTATTCCAAAGTGTAGTGTTTTTTAAGCTTATTTTTAAAAGAAATGGGAAGATATATGTCACAGGGCACAAAGTAGCTGTTATATAGTATGACTAAGTCTAGAGGTCTAAAGTACAGCATGAGGACTATAATTAGTAATAAATTAAAAGATTCAAATTACATTATGTGAATTTTACCCTGATTTTTTGTGTATATGATGTGAATTTCACCCCAATTTACATTTTATACAGAGAGAGAGAGAGACGATGAATAAAAGAAGATGTCAATGAGTGACACAGGGGTACTGAAACATCTACAGTTAGACTGCATCTTACAAAATTGCCAGCATTTGACCTTTGTCACCTGTAAAACAGTATTTTCATATGATTTGACCTAACACATCTCTGTGGACTTGGGAGACGTCATGGTAAAATGGAGGTGGTGCTGAACATGAAAGGAAAGGACATAGCAAGGAGGACACATTCCAGGAGAAGGGAACAGTGTGAGCAGAGGTGAGGACGTGCACGGTGTGGTCAGAGATGGGAGAGAGACCTGCCTGTGCCAGTCCATGTCAGCAGGGAGGTGACAGAAGATACACTATCACAGCAAGGGCTTCAGGAAGGGAGGTATTTTAGGAATATGGAGATTCTGGGCTCTAGGTCTGAATACATACCAAGAGCCTGGTCTTCCCAGTGGCTAGGAATGTCCCCTGGAAAGGACTACAGCCTCTAGGGACAATGACACATCAAAGTGCCTCAGTGGCCACATTTTCAGGCCCCAGGTGGACGTCTAGCATAATAGAAAGATCACCGAACTACAAAATGGCAGATCTAAGTCCTGGTTCTGACTCTGCCACTAATGGGGTGAGAAACCCAAAACAAGTCCTCTCCTTCTGTCTGCATCTCAGATTTCTACCCTAAAGAGGAGGGGAGCTGGATAAGTCAGTCTCCAAGGCCTCTTCCAGCTCTAAAACACTAATTCTGATGAGGAATGAAATATGTTTTCTGGCTTTCAGAAGCAACATGTGGTTCACTCAAGTAGAGAGAATGACACAAGGCCCATGAAAGCAAAAACACCGGGAATAAAAGAACTGTGTTTTTATACACAGGAGTCTATTCTTTTATGATACATGTCTAGACCCCTCTAAATATTTAAACAACAATATCATACCAGTATGAAACCTCTCTAAATCAGGCTCTGTGGTTAAGGAGGATATATGAACAGATGTGATCTTATTAAGGCCCTAATGTAACTCAAAAACAATTTGTCATATCTGACGGGTATTGTTAAATTATGTCCACCTGCCAGAGGCAACCAGAGAAATTACCGACCGCCTTTACTCTACTGTTACTCAAAATTCTCTAAAAGCTCCCATAGATGTGTCCAGGACATGTATTTTTTAAAACAGTAACCTAATTGTCACCAACACATAACAGCCAATGTTTCACAATTCCTTTTCATGTATATTTTATTATGGGGCCCAACTGTTTCAACACCCAAGTGGTTCAACTTTAATGCAGCTCAGGAAACCCCCTAAGTAATATCTATCACAAAATGCTTAACATCTGTGAAACTTGGACCCAAAATGTTCCAATTTTTTCTTTGGGTTGGGGGCAGCGCTTGGGGGTGGTGTATGCCGGCCACGGTTTTCATTAACGGCAATAGTGCTGGAGCTCACAGGTATTTTAATCACTTCTCAGGCAGGAAGAACCTTTTGCGTTTACCTTCCTACATGCTCAAAATTCTTTCAAACTACCATCGCCCTGCTTGCTCAGAGTCAATTTAAACCTGAACCCATTTCCTTTCCCTTCTCTAAACATTTGTCTCTCTCCTTCTTGCATTACAATATTTTAATTAAGTGGAACAACGAAAGAGAGTGGAGAAAAAAGAAGTGTGAAGCATGTGGTGTATTTCCCAAGCTATTTCAAAACTTCTCAGAGCGTTTTGGTCTCCAGAGGTGGTTGAAATATTCCTTATCCCACCAAGGAAAGGATGAAAAATTGATCTCCTCCAAACTTCAAATGCGCAGATTTCCTCAAATGCAGACTGTAGGAAAGAAAGGCAGGCTTAGGAGTTACCAGACCAAACGGGAAGCAGTTCTCAGAGGACTCACAGCTCATCCCAGGCAACTCCCCGGGCAGAGCATGTACGCAGAGCCGCTGGGAGAATAAACAGCAGCTCCACTTCTAAAAGAAATCAAAGCAAATCTCAGAGAAAATGAACATGGAGTCAAACGTCAGTAATTCGGATTAACTGGGGGGAAGGTCAGGTTGGATCAGGACAAAGCCTTGATGATAAAGTTTTCTTTTTCTTCCACAAAGCACAACTGCATTCATGTCAACATTCACCGCAACCCATTCTTCCCGCCTCCTCTCACCACCTCCCAGCTCCCTCGCTCCCTCGTGGGCAGCTCCTTCATCTCCACACAGACTGTAATCTTCCCCATCCTTAAGCTTCTGTTCATGATTCTCCCCTTTTGCCTGAAATATCCCACTGCCCACTGCCTACTTGGTAAACGCCTTCTCAATTTTCAAGACCCCACTCCAAATGTCACCTCCTAATCAGAATGAATAGCACTAATCGCATAATGCTCTGTGCATACCAATTATATAGTAAAGCAGTTCTCACCTTGGCCAGGTGGTATTAAAATCACCTGGAGAACATTTCCATACAATCCCAATCCCTGTGCCCATCATCAGTGATTTGATAGAATTGGTCTGGGGTACTCCTTTTACAAGTTCCCTGAGTGATCTCAGTGTGCAGGCTGGGCTTTAACTCTGAGTATAGAACTTATCACACTGTTCAGAATGATTCACCATACCTGTACCCCAAGAGCAGAGGGCCCTTGGGGAAGTCTTGCCGTAGGCAGGGATGGAGGACATGAGTCCTTCCAGAGGCTTCTGTAAGTAGGAGGAACTTCATATGATTTCAACAGGTGGCTTCCCCATGTGGTTTATCATGAGCATGCATGTATTTTTCATAGTGTACCTCCCATACTCCCCCACAGCACGCCTATTCATGCCTGTTGGGGGAGGATCCACCACCACAGCTCAACCTGACTTCCCATTATTTCCGCACACAGGCTCTTGGCCAACTGGGTGGCCTTGCCCCTTTTTCTCCATCTTGTTGAATTGTATGCCTTGTTCAAGGCCCACTGACCATTTTGTCTCTTGAAGCCTTCCTTTGCCCACTTCAACTCACAAGGGTTTACTTTCCCACTCAATTTCCACTTACTTTAGCCCCTGTCCTCAGATGCCTTGACTGGCTGACAATCTCATGATATGTGTATGAAAAACCTTGTCATGGAGAGAGCAAGGAACGTGCATCTTACAGAGATTTTTACTTCCTGCCTATAATGCAAGTGCCTTAGTCAATCCGGGCTGCTATGACAAAGCACCATAAACTGGTGGCTCACAAACAACAGAAATGTACTTCGCATTCGGTCCTCATAGCATTCTCAAGGATTCCTCTTAGAAGGACACTAATCCCATCATGAGCTCCATCCTCATGACCTAATCACCTCCCAAAGGCCCCACCTCCTAAAACCATCACACTGGCGCTTAGGAGCTCAACACAGGAATTTGGGGGACATAAACAAATAGTCCATAACAGGAAAGTTGGCTGTGCAGCAGGTACTCTACTTGTATTTGTTGATGGAACCCACCCAGAGTTGGCCCTCTTCTTCCCAGGCCAGGTTGGGGGACATCAAAAGAAGATAAAGATTAAGATAAGGATTAAGGATTTTGTGCTCCAAAAAGTCCACAGCGTAAACATCACACCAAATACTCTTGTGGTAGACGAAATTCTAAGATGACCCCATAAACCTTGCTCCCTGATCCTACTTCCATGTTTACGTATGTTTCATGCCAAAAGGGATTCTGCAGATGAAGGTTACCAATCGTGGTAGCCTTAAGATATGGAGCTTATCCGGGTGAGTATAACCTAATCGTGTGAGCCCTTTTTTAAAAGCAGAGGTTTTCTCTGGCTAGTAGCAGAAGGGTATGTCAGAGAGCTCAGAAAGGTAAGGAGGAGTCAACATGAGAGAGAGGCCCCATTCCTCACTTGAGATGGAGGCGGGCATGTGGTCTGAGAATGCACCCTGGCCAACGGCCAGCAAAGAAACAGGGACCTCAGTCCTACAGCCAAAGGAAATGCATTCTGCTGACAGCATGACCGAGCTTGGAAGCGGGTTCTTCCCAGAGCCTCCAGAAGGAGATACACCAGGGATGACACCCTGATTCCCACCTGTACTGTTTGCTATCTGTTTCCTGTCTGTCTGATACGCTGTACCAAGCAGGCTTGCTGGGTCTCCCAGCCTACAGCTAGTAAACAGTGTTGTTTCATGCCGCTAAGCTTGTGGTAGTCTGTTACAGAGCAATCCCCAACCATCCCCACCCCTCAAACTGCCACGTAAGAGAAGTTCCTCTTGTGACTTAATAAACATGCCTTAATATATGCTTGTCCTCATTAATATGTTATCTGCATATATACATATATATATATATATGTGAATGACAGGCTTCTAAAAGAGTAAAAAGTACAATATCAATGCAACATACTGTTACTATGCCTCTCAAAGTATCATAATGGCTCCCAAATTGAATGCTATTCATGATAGAGGTCATTTATGAATTATTAGAAATTGAATCACAAATCAGATCCTCTGTCTCAAGTGCTATTTACTAAGCACCACTGTTTGCCAAGTCTGCTGCTGATCAACAGACATTAGGGTTCTCCTGATATCTGAAGAATGCACAGCCAGCCACATGGTACAGTTTCCACCACTCTATGTAGAGATAAGGGGGCCTGAGTGCTCATGACAATTTCTTAGGAAGCCAATGACCCTAGCCCTTGTTGCCTGAAGACGGGGAAGAGGCAGGTGGTCACAGAGGGGCCCTGGGTAAAGCATTATCTACATCCACTTAACTGGCATCTCCCTAAATCCACACACCACATAAGGCGCATAAGAAGTCAACCTCAATTGCCTGAGACTGAGAGCCACAACCACCCAGCCCCACCAGCCTGTGATGGCCAGTGATGCCGCAAGCAGACACCTGTGTTCCCAGCAGCCATTCCTCAACCCTGGAGAGACATCACCTGCCAGGCCGCCGCCCCTCAGCCACAGGCTTCCGTCTGTCTGCGTCAGCATTTGTCTGAAGATCGCACCTCCATCATCTACAGGGGAAATTGATGTCAATGTCAACAGCATGGGAGAGGAATGTAACTACAGCCTATTCTAAAAGCACACATTTATTTTATTTTATTTCAGAAATGTATGCATTATGTATGGCTGTACATAAACGTTTTTATAGAGCCTCTTAAGTGATTTACCATGAGGTATGTGTTGATTATAATCTCTGCTTATTTAAGAGAGCCTTATTTACCCCCATGGTATTTAATACATTGAGACATGTTTCAACGAACAGTGACACCAGTAAACAAAAGTTACTGATCTACCTCATGAGTTATAAAACTTGTAACATGCTGTAAACAGCTCTGTCATTTTATTTCGCATATTGCATTGTGTGCGCTGCCTTATTTATCTTGTGGTAAATCTTTATGTATCAAAAATGCTACAGAAGGCACAACAGATAAATTACCGACAGACACTAACATCTGACTAGTTAATCAAACAAATAGGACATGTAACAAAGAGAAAAGCTATAAATATTGACAACAAGCTGCTTCAGTCACAAAAACATTCAATACTTCAGTTCTCAAGTGTGAGTTTTATATCAGTCCCCTGGAAACAGTTTGTATCCTCCAATAAATTTTTACAGTTGATTCACCTGCCTGATACCCCTCAGCCATTTCCTTCAGAAGCTGTCAAACCCGCCAACGATAATATATGGCCCGACCAACAAGAACAGCTGTAGCCATTCTCTTCGCAGGTTCTTGTACCCTGTTCTGCATAAAATAATACATCAAGATTAATTGATTTCCCGTCAGTCTCACAGAACAGAAAATTAATTTTCATGTAGCTATTTTCCCCAGCATATGAATTTTGTACATGGCAAGTAATTTAAGTTTTTAATTATTCATGAGCAAGGAGGGGGGTGGGGAGAAACATGATAAAGTAAGCTTGCAAAAACCCCAAGGCCAATCTCTGGGCCTGGGTTTGTGCTAAGGCAACAATAGCATTCCGCTAATGCCCATATAAATAATGTATGTATTAACATACATCTTAGTACAACACCAATTTCTCTCACTCTGACCCGAGACTACCAGGTCACCCCGCGGTACTTTGTCAAAGTCGCCGCGCTGGCTACATGTGACATGCTGTGGGAAAACACAGAACATGTCAGCCATATTGAGGTGACCTCCGCCCGCCTGTCTCGGCGGCCACACAGCCCAGGCCTGATAGGAGGTAATTTAACGGTCAGTGTGTGAGTGGGACCGAGGAAAAGTTGCTAATCAGCCAGGTGCTACCTCAGCAAGTCTTCCATTTGCAGGTGCCACTGACTTGTGAACGAGAAAAATGTAACCAGAAAATAGAAAGAGAGCGTTTGACTCACTCCAGCCCCATCCTTCACAGACTCTCTGCAGACCAGCTTGAGAAAAAGCGTCTCCTCAGGAAGGGAAAAACCACAACGTGAGCACCTCTGGCAATCAAGCATATTTGCTAAAACGCAGACAAAAATGCTCCCACAGTGCCTCCTTAGAAATGTCATGGGCATACTTCATATAAACTGCAAGACAGGCAAACGTGGGGGGCTTGCCTCGGGTCGTGGAACTCAACCCCATTAGGACCAAAACTGAACTTAGCATCGCACACCACACTCTTGGGCACCGACGAATCGGCCACCCGAGTCAAGGCGTTTTGGTCATTGATTATTTATCAGTGACGTCTTCTGCCCTGAATGTTAAGATTTCGTGCAAAATTGGGAGATCACTATTCCCAGTTACACAATCTGACTATACCACGACCGGTTAAGAATCAGAGAAGGAATCTGATCAAATTATCAAACTTACATGGGACAAGTAGACTCCAACAGTGAGTCGGGGAAAGGAGAGGCCTCTATCAAACCAAAGAGTGCAGAGAGAGAAAGTGACGGAATTCCTCTGAAAGGAGAGGCTGGCTTGGATGGCCTGAAACTGTAGCTCATTTGGGGCTAGCACCAGCCCCATCAAAGGCCCCACCAGCAGGGGGAGCACCTTGGTAAGGGGAGGAGACAGGGAGAAGTTCAAAAACCAACATGAAAGAAACTCAAAATTACTTTAAGGGAAAAAAAAAAAGAAAGAATTTTACCCCAGGGGGTTAGGAGGCAGGGACACTTGGATGGGGAAAGGGCCGCGTTTGATGAATCTGATGAAATATTAATAAGGACACAAAAGTGGAAGTTTCTATGAGCGTCGTTACTTAATAGCTTGTAAAAATGGCCACTCTAACCAAAACCAGAGAGAAATCAGGAAATTGCTTCTCTCCTTAGAGTTCACCATGCCTCACCCCGGAGGCTGGAGCAAAACTGTGCTTCCAGTGTTTCCATCATAAAACCTGTTTCTCAGTAACCAGTGAAACCTGTAAAAACTCACTTCACCCAGAAATTTGGCACCACAGTGAGGACTATAGGTTTTCTTAAGACTGTTCCAGAACAGCGCTTCAGGATTATATTTCTGTTACCATGATGGCTCGAGACTAAGGGGCAACAGGATACATCATGTCAAGCAGCTAATTATTAACACTGAAGAACAGCTAGCCAACTTAGCCTGAGTGAAGATTAAAAGGGGGAGGCATGCTCAATTGTTTCATGTGGTATATTTGTGAAGGGAGAGTCAATGAGGTTTGCTTAAGTCTTTGTATCTCTGGTTCTAAAAACAAAACAGGATGAGGAAATTAACTACAGCACTGATACCCCAACAACAAAGGCATTGCTCAACTGCTACCAGACAAACCCAGATC